GCTTGATCAAGCCAAACTGTCATTGTATCATTCTGCACTTGAAACAAAAATTTAGTTTGTCGTCGTAGATCATATTCCCACTTTTTTCTAGCATAACTATCAAAAAAAGATGGACAATATTTTGAAATATCGAAAGAAAGACTGTGAAGATTCAGTAAATATTTCTTCAATAATTGAATATTATGTAAGCTTGACGTATTGACTTTTAAATGTTCGACGTATGGAAAGCACTTGGCAATAATAATAATATCTTTTTCGTTGAAATTATACTCAGAAAGAGTTATATCAAGGTGTTTTACACTATTGATCATTCCCATGAAAGCATATACATCAGTTAGAAACAGATCCAAGGTCATATGAAGTAAACTAATATTTTTGAGAGATGCCAGGAGTGCATTTAATTCGACGGTCGATTTTTGCGAGCATGTGATGGCGAGTTGCCTAATTTTAGAACAATTTACATATGTATTCAGCCATTTGAATACAGAACTATCCAGATTATCCACTATAAGATACTTCACATTTTCAAAATAGTAATGACTTGATATAATATTATTCATGTCATCAAAACTTAAATTTATTCTTTTATTTACTATCATAAGATCATTATTATCAGTGCGATTGGGTGCTATCCAATATTGAATAACAGGCCAATCAAATTCATCTCTAATAAAGCAGTTCATGTTGTTTATGCCGAAACCATTGACATTTTCGTCTTGATGTTCAGTTATTATAAGATTGAAATTCTTTTTCGATATCCAATATGAAGTTTGAAAAGAAGCGAGAACATTCTGGAGATCAGCCTTGCTTATACGAGATGTAGTTGTTCGAAGACTAAAATGACTTAGTAATGGTAACGATGTTTCCACCAACATCTCCCATACGTTTCCATTAAATATTTCACTATGTGCTTTAATTTCAACATGCTTTAAAACAGGCATCGAATTAAAATATTGTGTCAACATATCCATCATTATTGAACTATTTTGTTCAAAAGATAAGACTAATGTATGAAGTGTAGACATCACTATAATATTCTTTTTTCGACGCTTTTCTTTTTTCTCATAATGAAATTTTGTACAGACTATTTCAACATCAAGATATTTAAGATGAGGAGAACATTGAAGAATATATTGTAGATCTTCAAGTTCACAATGTATACCAGAAATAGTCAAATGTTCAATATTTGACGATATATTTGCTAAATCACTCCAGTCCATAGGATTTGAATTGCTGATAAGAGAAAATCGTTTTAATGATTTTAAGCCAAAAAGACTGATAATAATATTTGTTAGTAAAAATATATTCTCTTTAATACTTGTTTTGATTGATAAGGTGTCGATCGTCGTTTGTGATAATGAATTAAGAGCTCTTTCAGCAATTTTCCAATCGAGAGCTTCATCATTAAAATGAAAATAAAGTTTTCGAAGTCGTTTAAACAATAAAAACGATGGAAAAAAAGATAGAAAAGCATAAACTTGACCAGGTGTGTCTTGTTCTGATATGGATAATTCTTCTATTTTATCGATATAGGCTGGTAAAAGACCCATACAAAAACGAAATTCATCTTTTTGACACTGAATAAAATTAAAATGAAGTCGTTGACATTGATTAATAATAGCATCAAATCGTCGATTGAGTTGAAAGCTAAAAGCTCTCAGAAAATCTACTCCATTAATATATTTCTCGATAATATCAGTTAATATTTCATTTGGAAGTGATTCAAGTTTTGATACTGACATTTATATAGAGTAAATAATAGTAAAAATCGACGAGTGACGATAAACTAGTGTTGAAATTAAAGTCTTGTTAATTGAGTTTTTTTCTACAATAAGATAAAAAATTGTTTGAAAAGAAAAGCATTTTTTTTTAAGGCAACAGTGAATTTTTTAAGTCATGCTTTGTTCTCTTTCTTTTGTCAATAGAGGGTATTTTAGGTTGCATTTCTTTCTACCTAACAAAATATGTCAGGTTTGCATGAAAGATACACTGTAAAAAATAGGCGTAGAATAATAAACCCTTCAAAATGGTTTATTAGCCTTATAAACGCTTTCATATACCCCTTTAGTGTCATAAACTCTTTCATATATCATTTTCCTTCATAAACCCTAGGAAGGGTATATTATTCGTTGCACTTTCATAAACCCTTTCAGGGTATATGAGTTGTCATATACCCTTCCTAGGGTTTATGAAAGAAAAGGGTATATGAAAGAGTTTATGACACTAAAAGGGTATATGAAAGCGTTTATAAGGCTAATAAACCCTTTTGAAGGGTATATTATTCTACGCCTAGTTTTTACAGTGTAAGACGATATTTTTGAATTAGTCATTCAAATAATTACATATGAATGTGGTTGTCATAAAAACATCGAAAAGTGAATGAGTCATACGAAAAAAAAAGAACTTTTTCAACGAAGAAAGTCATAAGAAAACTGGAATTATACTGTGTTTTTGCAGAAAACTCTGTTAAACGCTGACTCGATTTATGGATTTACTACACATTTATCTCTTTCATGTGAGATTTGATCAAAACAAAACATCTTAATAATTTCTATAGTTTCAGGTTGCTATTGACAAACACAGTCGTAAATAATATTGCTATAAGATCGAAGTCTGAACCACAACTTTAATTAAAATGATTACAATTTTTCTTTAATGTAGTTCCTCATCTTTTTTTTTTTTTGAAGAAAATCATTATTAATACACATTAAAATAAAATGTGTCATTGGTTATAGTATCACAGCCTCAACTGCAAAAATGTATCATTGTCGATTTATTAATTATTCATTCACTGTTTACCTTTTCGCGTAAGCAACATATAACCAACTCCATTAAACGTAATTGAGGTATTTTTCTCTTTCCTTTTCCCAATAGAATATATGTTAGTTTGCTTTTTTTTATCTTAAAAAAAATGTGTTAGGTAGGCGGAGAACATGACAAATATTTTTGAATGAGTCATTCTAATCATTAAAAATAGATCTGTTGGTCATAAAAATATTGAAAAAATGAGTGATTCATATTGAAAAAAAAAGAAACTTTTAGTGCCGTTTATTGTTCAATAATACTTCAGTCGGAAGCCATGGTTAGTTTGACATCATTATTTTATCTGAAATGCGTATATTTCAATTCATAAGAAAACTAGAGATGATATCATTTGTTTTTGCAAATTATTCAATTAAGCAACGTCAAGTTCTCCTTGACAAGCACGACTATAAATAAGATCGTATTGATTTCGAAACTTAGACTTGAGTATTACTGTGCACCTCAAATAATTTCCCCCCCTTCGGTATTTTGTAGTTTTTATCACAAGATCTTTTTTAATTTATTAACTTCTTATATATAGAAAGAAAGCCTAAAACGCGCTACATCTGATGATATATTTACATTGAACAACAATTGAAGTTCGAAGTATAAAAATTGTATTAGAAAAAGATGTGGCATTTTTTTTACAGAAAAAAATTGATCAAAATCTTAAAATGTATAAAGAGCAACAATTTTTTAGGATAAATTTTGATTGAAACGAGATAGAGATCTGCGATTTTCACCGTTAGAAAGAGGACATAAAGATGCATCGAATTCTATACTTCACGTGTCTCGGACAAGTGTTGTTAGGGTTTTCAGTGAACTTTTTTTCGAAAATCGACTTTTTCGTATTTTTTCAAAAAGACTTCACTTTATCCTCTTTAGAAGTCTCAATTTTTGAAGAAAAGTTCGCTAAAGACCCCAACAAAACTTGTCAGAGATATACGAAATATAGAATTCGATGCATCTTTATGTTCTCTTTCTAACGGTGGAAATCGCGGATCTCTATCTCGTTTCAATCAAAATTTATCCTAAAAACTAGTTGCTCTTTATACATTTTAAGATTTTGATCAATTTTTGCCGTAAAAAAAAATGCCACATCTTTTTCTAATACAATTTTTATACTTCGAACTTCAATTGTTGTTCAATGTAAATATATCATCAGATGCAGCGCGTTTTAGGCTTTCTTTCTATATATAAGAAGTTAATAAATTAAAAAAGATCTTGTGATAAAAACTACAAAATACCAAAGGGGGGAAAATCATTTGAGGTGCACAGTAAATAAGTTATAAAATCATATTTTCGAACAAAAGTTTACGTGTCACTTGTACGTGATTTATGATGTCCAAATAAAGCTGCTATAACGGCTCTACTTGTTCTTACTATCCAAGTTTTACGAAATTGATTCATGTACACATTTGACGGATAAATATATGTAAAAAATCCTATAGTTTGCAGTGAATAATATAAAAAGTCAAATGCTATATGTAATCGAAGATAGGCATTCATATTAGATTTTGAACAGACATGACTTGTACTAGAGCCAAAAAGATTAATTAACAGTACATGTGGTAGTGTACAGGTGAGAATGAGTATTGGTGGAAGAAAAAAGTCTTTATGTTTCTTTAACTGTTGACAGATAATCTTTCTCCAATCACATCTTTTTGCACCAGTCAATATAATTTGATGTCTTATAATATCAATCAAAACGAAGACAATCGATAGAACATGTAAAATCCATGGTATAACAGTGTGAATGTACATACTATTAACTATTTCATCGACTAACTTCCAATGAGCTGGAAATTGACGAAATTTACATAGACGCATATTAGTTACGATTGGATGTGCTGCGCTTTGCCAGCCAATAAATGTTGTTATATTTGCTGCTGCCGTTAAGAGAATAAGTAAAACTGAAATTATAACAGTATATTTACGTGAACGATATAAACTATAATTATAAAGTTGAATTAATACTCGTTCAATTGATACAAATGCACCAGCCCATAAAGATAAAATCAATGTAGAATTTAAAATTGTTGTAATTATACGACAATGAATTAAACTATTTTTATCTAATTCTTCGTTAAAAACCAGTGTAACAATAATTCTGACATACAACAGAATCATTCCTATTAAACTAGCCAAAATAAAGACGATTAAATAGACACCTAATGATGTAATACGAATTTTTTTCTTCAACAAAGTTTTCATTGTTAATAAATTGCAAATAGTAGCCGTTAAGAATTGTAATGTAGACAGACTGATATAAATAACTTTTAATGCTACTTGCCATTTTAATGTTTTCTGACTAAGTATATCAATCGACATTGAAGCTGACATTGAAAATCGCAGATAATTATTGGATTCAGTACCATTACATGCAATGAAAATAGTACTGTTGTTATACATTTTTTTTCTTTATAATACATACATAATACATGCTAAGCTGTTGGACACATACTCATATATCACTTAAAAGAAACGGCTTGTTTTTTTCTACCTGTAATTAATTTATCATTAGAAAAGATGCATATTTTTTTCTCTCCATGTGAACAAAACACGCAACACGTTTGTGCCGCGTCATTTATTCTATTCTGTTTTTGTGCAATATCAATCCTTTCTCTTATTCATTTTCCATCTTTACATGCGTTCTAATTTTCTCCAAAGGCATATCGATGATATTATTATTTAGTACCCGTTTTGCATAAAAAAAACAAGGCGAATGGAGCGTCTCTTGATTGTACTCTAAGACTCATAGCGTAATTTATCAAAGATACTTAAGAGAGGGTCCATGAGATGATCGAGGATAGTTCCAATATACGAGGCACTCGATAAAGTTTTTTTTTTCGATTTTTTTTGCTCATTCGAAACTTCAATGTCTAAAACTACTAACCCTAAAATTTGATGTTCTAATACTATTCCTATGAAAAGTTAGTCAATACCAACTTTTGGCACTATCGAGGCTTTTTGTAAAAAAATAAGAAAAATATTCTATAAAAGATGTATTGGCTTCCGTTTCAGCAAATCATTGAAATTTTTCGTGGTATATATGACAAGATAGAGAATTGAAAACTGAATAAAATGAGNAAAATGCTTATAACTCCAGAACAAAATGACATCGTGAGCTCGGCCTTGCGTAGATCGAAAGAGAACAATTTTCTCTATCGATTAATATCATTGAAAGTTCAAATTGAACGAAAATTAGTAGCACGAGGCAGCTCACAAACTGTCCAGCAAAAGTTCTCCTGGTTGGTCAATTGCTTGACCATTCAAAATCAGTAGGATTTTGTAGCCCCCGACTTGCTCTTTTGAATGGTGAAAACCGCAGCTCGATAACTCAAAGTAATCAAAAGTTATTCAGAAAATGGTCGTTAATACTTTTAAAAAAATCCGACATTAGTTCTCTTTAATTATCTTTGTGATAGGTGAGTCAACCTTCTTGTTTCTTTATGTTTTACATACCATTTTGTAGCTCTTGAAATTCTCTATCGAATGGTATATAATAGTGGGACTCTTAGTTGACTATGATAGTAAAAGTTGTTTACGAAAGCTGGAATGGGTCGATCTTTACATAGGGAGGGTATAGGGAAAAATGAGTATTTTTGCAATAACTCAGGAAGGGCTCGGCCAATCCATCTGATCTTCGAACTCGACCGAGATATTCTAAAGGCTGAACTGTGTAGAAAATTTTATCACGATCTGACTCTCCTTTCAAAAGTTATCGTGTAAATGGCCGGACACACTGACCGATTCTAGAGTGTACTCACTTTTTGAGCACACAAAAATACGTAATTAAAATAAGCTTTATTGTGTAGGTTGCAGAGCTTCTCATGCTGCATCTTTCGGTATGTTTTGTTTTTCTGATCAAATGTATTTAAGTATAACAATATCAAGTGCAAAGTGCAATCATTATTTATGAGTCGTCAGTATTTTTTGTTCAAGCATAGAAAAAACACGTTTATGAAGATCAATCATTTTGAAAATAATAATTCAATCGAAAAATCTCAAATGAATACTATAAATAGAGGAAGAGACAAACTATATAAATAATAAAGTAAAAGTTCTTTCAATAGTCTTTATATATATGTTTCATCTTTCATCATTCTTATCCAAAAACTTTTCGATCGGACGTTAGATTGTACCGGCATTTTACACTTGAAATATTTGTCTATTTTAATAAACATTTATTTCTTGATTATCTATCAATCTGAATAAAGAAATATGTTAAAGAACAAGTGTCAGAAAGTATCTATTGACGAGAAAGACTTGTTGAAATAGTTTTACTAAGTTACAATTATATTTAAAAGGTATCTTATTATTAGTAAATTTAAATAGAATGAAGATCATACATCTATCAACAGACTGCATTTAATGAAATTTTTCAGAGTCAATTTTACAATTTTTACGCAACTATGATGAATTTTCTATTTCTGGATCATACAATTACATTTTACTGAGTTTTATCTCAGTTGATTGAGCTTTATCTTTTCAGATTTGAAGCTATTAAAAAGAGTTTATCGTATGAAATTTGCAAGGAATTTTATTTCTAGAAAGCTTCTCAATATTTGTTCTCATTTCAAAAGCAATGAAATGAATACAAAGAAACAAAAACAAGATTGATTGAGGGCTTTTGCTCGCATCAAAAATAGAAAAAAAGAAAGAAAGAGTAATGTATACTTTTATGTATTAACCGATGTTTTGTAACATGTTATCTCCACAGTGATTGCTATTCGTTTTCTTTTTTCATGTTGTATTTATTGCTTCACGTTTCTGTTCACTTTTTCTTTGTTTATATCTTCCTTTATATTTTTTTATGTATTCTATTCTTGTTCAATTTAAGATTAATATTTATAGCTCTTATGCTCATCTCTAGTTTTAAAACCCCTACAATCATGCTACTGAAGAATGCTAGTAGGAAAAAAAAACAAAATGAAAGTACTGATGTATTAGAATGCTCTTGTCTTTGAATATCCAAATGAAATTTTTCTGAGAATTAGAAATGTCAGTTTTTATCTTCATTTCAGTATTTAAGGTTGAAATTAGAACTAAACTAGGTTAGAAGATTTATATTGAAACTTCAAGCTTAGTTTTTTTTCATATTCATTCGTCTTCATGACATGTAAGTTGTTTATTTTTTTGTCTCTTTTTTTACTAAAAAGCAAAACATAACAATGGAATATTTCTATGTATCACGTGGTATAGTAGTATATGATCTATACAGATGAGGTGACTTTACTACTGTTGTATTTGCTAGAGAGAAAAAATTAAAAATTACCAGCATAACTATTGAAAAAAAGTTAAAGAACCATACAGAACCAAACTAGTAAAGCTTCCAGATTAAGTGAATTATGTGAAACGAATATGATCGTTATCTCTCTTAATTACTTCAACGAGAATATTACGACACGAATATACAGATGATAAAACTAAACAATCAACTGATCTGTTACGTTATACAACATATTCTATTTTTATTTAAAATAAATACTACCTTTTATGCTATTTTTGATCTCAACCAAACTTTTCTAAAATATCTTTTAGTATATTAGACCTCTTACTCAGGAATAACAAACTCACTAAAAAAAAACAATCTTTGAGCTTTGTCATTCATGGACTTATCGGTTCTCTTCTTGATTTGCTGAAAAATAACAGAAAAATATTTATATGAAATTTTTCTTAATGGATAAAAAAATTCAAGCTCATCACTCATCACCAAAAAGAAACCTTGCTTAACTGTTATCGACTATGTAGATAATATCTATTCATAATGATTATAAAGGACAATTGAGACTAATAATCTATGAATGAATGATTATCTTTTCTATTTGCCATAGAAGTAAGAGCAAAAAAAAAATGAATATATTAAATAGTCTTTCTTTGATGATTAATAGAAATGAGAACCGTTGGAAAAATCTGCAAGGAGAATATTTTCAATAAGTGAAGTCTCGAAAAAGATTTCAAACAGAAAAAATGTCAAATAAAATAGAATAAATAATATAGAAATTTTTGAAGATGCTATATAAAATGACTATCTATTATCTAATGTCATGTATATGTCGTAGGCCAATCTAAGATTCAGGCCAAACTAAGATTGGCCTGAAAATTGTTAGGTCAATCTAAGAATTTTTCGAATTGGCCTAAGCGAATCTTAGATTGGCCTACGACATATACATTCCTAGTAATCAATAATTTCTAATTTATTCATCTGAATGAAGGCAAACCATACATATCAACATATCCACCAACTCATAGATACTCTTAGCCAGAACTATATTCATTCTATGCCAATAATCTTTAAATAAACAAATCAACTATTTTTCATTCATGTTTTTATCATTTCTATCTTCTATCCTATAATGTCATTTATTTATAAATAAAATATTAACAAGTAGACATTTCGTTTTATTAACACATAAAAATGAAATATCGAATCATCTTAGGATTTATTCTCACAATATTCTATTTGAGATCTTGATCTTTTCGATATTCTTCGTTTCTATTTTATTTTTCTCGAGTTTTTCATCTCACATAGAAAGTAGATGATTACATGTTGGCTTATAGAGTGATAATGCTAGGCTAGTATTAGCAAGCACTCTAATAATATTTATCATTATGCCATGTTTTCTTTTTATCTTTCTAATGTGAAATAGAATTGGAAAATATTTAGTGTTCCTGTATGCTAAGAAATGATAGATGATATACTTGCACAATTATAATCAGGATGGTAATGAAATTGATCATACATGATAGCTTGATATATCTTTTCTTTTATTTCTAACACGGGTATATATTTAAAGCTAGATGTATAAATAGCTGAGATATTTGCATGGTAATAAAGAAAAAAGAGATAGATATTGCAAGGTTAATCAATCGAAAGAAAAAATGTTCATATTAGAATGAATTTTTTATTATAAATAAGCACTTCTGTAAGAGATATAGTATTTCAAATATTATAAAAATAGAAGATAGACATATGTGAAACTTCGATAAACACTAATAGATGAGAGTAGATAAAATTTAGTTTAATTTTACATTTATATACAATATTAAAATTTTCAAGCTTTATAAGTAACATTACTGTCAGTCATAAACCATCATTTGTAACTATCAGTATAGTTTAAAGAAAGAAAAAAATAAATGTTAGAAGAGAAGTAAAACAACAAAAGTTATGTTACTGTATCGAACAGTGAAAAAAGATACATAATAATATAAAAAAACTAAAATAAACTGTATTCTATCTATTCTGATAGATGGATGGTTTCTATTACTGAAGATTTTATTTCTTACGAAAAATATTGTTCGATTAATCATATTAGTCTTATAAAACGTGTCAATTTTAAGCCATTAATGGACTTTGTTCCTTGGAATCAACGTTAACTTTCATATCCGTATTACATTGTTCTTCTTGAATTATTTCAAAACGATTGCCACCTAGATTTGTTTTCCACATACTTAATATCATTAATATTGCTAAAATTGAAACACCACCTGGTATTAATGTTATGATATATCTATAATATAATGCACATGTATGTGTTGAAGATAATTTACATGGATTAAATTGTTGAACAAGAGCAATAATTATACCATTAGCAATTTTATCAACAAATGTCATTACTCCATAAACAAATGCTCCACATTCTGTATTTAAACCAATAAAATCAGATGCTAGAGCAGTAGAACAAATGCTTGTTGTTGATTTACTAATACCAAATAAAATGCAAGCTAATATTAAAGCTATTTGAATTTGTAGTATACTTTTTATATCAATAATAAACCAAAATAAAATCATACATACTAATATCAAACCATAACCAATGATATTAGTTAGATTTCGACCTAATCGGTTATTTATTGCACGCATAGGAAAAGATACAACAAAACTAGTAATATAAATACATAGTGGAACAATAGCAACATATACTCAATTTAATTTTGAGATTGTATCGATGGTATATAATGGAAGAAATGCCTTAAAAAGAAAAATTATGATGAAAATTTTGTACATAAGATGTACTGACATAATGAAGTAATATTTGAGTTTTTTTTAGAAATCGATGCATGATTTCAATTTAAAACAATATGACTCAGTTTATTCATTAGTTATCATTGTGATATGGGACAATTTCTTTCTCAATGTACTAGTCATTTTTTTGCTGACGACGTCGCAGCTATACTTGGAGGTCATTTAGGAGTACGATACACAAATCAATGTATTGATCTTGAAAAACGTATGAAATCTTTTCTTGATTCACTCGAATATTATTCTTGTTTAGCTGACCAGCTATTAAATAGGACTAAAACCGAAGCTATGTTTAGTGCTCGTGCAATGGGGTCCCCAAACTTCAACATTACATTTGATAATGGTGATGATAAATGTATTAATTGGAAACAGGAGTAAAAATATCTTGGCTATATCATCTCATCTAGACTTGAATGGAGGAAGCTACTAAAGGATACAGAATGTAAAGTTAGGAAGAGAATAGCACTTATTAAATCGTTTAAATTGTTTGGTTGTTCGTCTCCTAGTCTTCGTAAAGCTCTGTTCTATTCATATGTCCTTCCATTATTCACCTAATTACATCCTGCATATTCGCTATTCATTCGAAAGCAACAGGAGGATCTCTCTAGGTTTTATTACTCCTTCCTTCGTCATGCTCTATGTTGCCTCGAATGGAATGAAAATTTTTTTTCATATATTCTTGATGAAATATCCTTGGAAGATCGTTGTTCCATTTACTGGAATAGGTATCTTAGAGCTTTATCTAATTCAATAGATGGAAATCTAATGTTCGAAAAAGCTAATATTGCTGAATATAGGGGAAGTTGGTTGGATAAGGAGTTCTCTATCGTGTGGTTGAGAAGGTCTAAAAGATTTGTCCTTATAAATCAATTTTAGAAAAAGTTTTAACTTGGCTTTCATCGGTCCCTTCAAACTCTTCCTTACCACATTACGAAATGTCCGAAATAGAGCTACTTCAACTCTTTCCCGATTCTTTTTATTAAAGCTGTGATCGATGTCTTTTTCTGTTCGTCTTAACTTTTGTTTAAATGTTGTTCATGTGCAGTCTATTATACATGTGTGTCCGTTCTTTTTTTTCCTTTGCTTATTTTCTACTATGTACTGTATTCATATTGGATGCGGTTTTCTCATCATTCTTTTTTCTTTCCTCTGCATTTTTACATATAGAATCTTTTCTTCTTTTTGCATCTTCCGTGTACCTTTTATTTCACTTTTTTCCCCTATCTTCTCATTTCTGGTACTGTTAGGATCTTAGGATCGCAGTTGTTGCATAATAAAAAAAAAAACAATATGACCCAGTTGTAGCATTAGTGTTTCGGTATAAACTATTTAGAAAAATACATCTCTAGTATATTTACAAGCTATGTCAAAAGTTTTCAATGTTTGGTTTTAGTTTCTAATTCTATTACTCAAATCATTTCTTAAGTGAAGCACTACCGATGAGCTAATTAAAGATTATTTAAAAAGTTATTCTATCTAAATTAATATATCATACAAAGTTCCCTGAATGCGTAAATTAAGTTTGTAACAGAAGTATCATCGAGTAGAAAACTCAATATATGACACTGATTATCTGCTCCATCTGATTAAATGTTGTTTAAACTCTCATTCTAAATAGACAACAAATCTAATATGTTCTCCTGTTAGTGTATTGAGAATTTTTTTCTCTCTGTAGCTTATAAAGAAAATGTGAAAAACAACATCATACTAGTTCAAAATATATTATCTATAAAAATGTATTTGACCTGTGTAATATTTAAAATAATTCGTGCAGACGTCCAAATGACTGCACATTGATAAAACTCTTTTTCACATAAAATAGTCTTCCATGTCATTTGTTTTAATTTTCTATTAGATGTTGATATTAGTTTCGAATGACGTTCTTTTTCTTCAATTGTTTTATTAGATTCTTTTAATCCAACATGAAATATAATCATAAAAATAAGACCAAAACCAATAACAATAAATGTTAATTTACGAAATATAGGCAAGGGGGAAAGTGCTGGCACTCAGCACCCTGGCACCTCAGCACCTGCTCAGCACCTTGGCACCTTTTCAGCACCTGCTCAGCACCTTGACACCTTTTCAGCACCTCAGCACCTTTCCAGCNTGGTTTAGTTTATGTAGTATCCTAAAAAAATCAATTAGCATCTCAGCACTTCAGCACCCGCCCAGCACCTACTCAGCACCTGAGCACCTACTCAACACCTGAGCACCTACTCAGCACTTTTCCAGCACCTGAGCACCTACTCAGTACCTCAGCACCTGCTCAGCACCTCAGCACCTGTCCAGCACTTTTCGGTGCTGGGTGCCAGCACTTACCCCCTTGAATATAGGTAGATCAGCAGATGTTATATTTGATTCGTCACCGGTAACAGAAAAACCTAAAAAAAAAACTGGCAGTTGCATATAAAGATGTACTTGATAGGAAAGTCCAAGCATAACGATATGAATTAAGTGCAACACGTTCACCATCTTTATGTGTTAATTCATTGATCATTGCTCTAATTTTAATATAGAAATTTTCTTTTCTTTTATCAAGATAAATTTAATACTTACAAATGTGCAACTTGTGAACTTGCCCAACCAAATTGAAAAATAGTGATGAATATTGCATAATAGATAAATTGTATCCAGAATTTACTATTTTGACACCCAATACATAAATTAAAACAAAATGGAAATGAAATAAGTACACAAACAACTCCAATAAGATGCCAAGTTTTACGTTTTCCATAATGAAATAAACCAGTTTGTGTACGATCCGATGCTAAACTAACAAATATTGTGGATACAGCATCAACTATTTGTCCAATTAAGAAGAAATAACCAGCAGGTGCATTTATAAAATTCATAACACGATAATAAAATACAATAAAATATGAAAGCCACATTGCTGCAGTTACATCATTTAGAACATGACCAACACTATAAGTAAATTTTGATCGTTTTGAAAGTACATCTGGTTGTACAATACTTTCTTCCATGATAATCTATAAATTAATAGTAAAACTAAAAAAAACAAATTAGCACAGCATTCAGAATAGATTGTTCTATGAGAATTAAATTCATATTATTCGACTAAACAAGGTAGCAAGCGTTATGACAAACTAATAAAATAGTTTTACTAAAACGCAAAAATTTGTACATATTAGAATTGTATGGACTATCATTCTAAAATGTTTAAATCGTAACCTTAGTATGTAGCAGATTTATGACTTGAGGCTATGATACTCTTTTTAGTATTGTCAAATATTTATATAGAACTCCGAATAAATGTTATAGATTACTGTATTCATCTAGAGAATATACTATCAATTTCTTTATGTTTTGTTATGTTATTATGGAAAAGATTAGATATCTACGAATGAAATTAAAATTTTCTTTTTCAAATTAACAACTTTAACATGAAAGGTACTCTGGACATGCGCATGGACAGAAATTGGAATATTCAATTTTTTTTAACTATTTTTATTATCTGTTCACAGTCTATACTTTAAAATCTAGACACAATTTCTCTTTTTTTTTCTTCGTTGAATAACATAATAAAAAGTATTTTGAAATTTTGAAAAGATAATGTAAGAAAAGTCATAATTTTCTATCCATCCTCTCGCATATTTCATATAGTAACATGTTCGTTTTTTCTTTCAAAAAGCTACTTACAAAATTCAAAATACATTTGTTTTTAATGTTACTTTACAAACTATTTCCAACCAAAGAATCTAGTAGAAGTTTTAAAATTTGTCAATTGAACGTACATTATACGTTACTTAAAAATTGAGTATCTCTGTCTGGATATATACACGTAACTAACAGTGTATATTCTATATTTGTAAGTTTGAAAATAAGAGTTTTTGTTCGGTCTAAGTGCTTCTAATAATTTTCTATTTTAAGATGATAATATTCAAATATATTTTACAAATATCAAACTTTACGTATGAGATATTTTCAAAAAGTGAGAATATATACATTATTTATTTCGATTGTATTGCTACAAGAAATAGATCATATTTATTAATATTCTTTAAGACTACTATTAGTAGATTATTAAGATGGATACATATCTTATATTTCAAAGGTCAACTATATCTGATATGTTATGTATTTTTGCTTCATAGAAGAGTCTTCATTTCAATGGTAGATAAGTATAATTTCTAGTCTAATCAATCAGTAGTGGGCAAAGAAAATCATGTCAAAGGACTTGATGTATAAATAGTGAGCAGTTAAATTAATAGAAATCAATATTGATAGTACAGAAAATAGATCAAATTAAATGCAAGCAACATCACTAATATCGACGAGGTATTGAAAAAAAAGAATCGACTAATTACGTTTTTTTCTTGTTGATAAACAAAACTGATCTGTTACAAAGAACTTATATCTCTTAATCATAAAGAGCTATTCGAACTTCAGAAGTCTAGTAATAAATAAAAATATGATTGAAATCTTATTCAAAATGGATGTTAGTTCTTGGGCCTATCTAAGTAACTAAGGTACCAATGAAGTCAATCGAAATACAGAAACTTTAAAAATACTGGTGTAAGAGGTAGATTTTTATAGAATGCATATAAATAAGAATTCTCAAGATGGATAATTGAAAAGAAATTTGTATTTATGAACAGTTAGAATTTACTCCAAATAGATACTTTCAAACTTGAATTCTTATCATCTTTAAAGGTATAAGACTCATAATAAGAGTAACAATCGATCGGTATTGTAAATGTTTGTAGATTTCATAAATGCATTCGATCAAATGTGACCTTCAAATTAGACATAGCACTAAATTTAGTACAATTTTTTTTAGAAAATTTAATGAGTAGTAGAACATCAAATAAATATGTAACAGAGTGAAGAATTATTGAGAAATGTGAATATTAATGTAGTTCCTTCTAACAGTTCAATATTGTCAGTAAATTTATTCAGATTACATTTTATTCTTTACAGTTGAAAAAACTTATTAACTGATCATCTATCAATCTTAATAAAGAAATGTATTGTAAAACAAATATTAGACAGTACAAATCAACTAGAAGGATTTATAAAAATGATTACGCTAACATTAGAGATATATTTAAAAGATATCTTATTAATAAATTCAAATAGAATAAAGATGATACGACAATCAGCAAGCTGCATTTGATAAAATTTTTCAGAATCAAAGATACATTCTCCACAAAACTATGATGAATTTTCTTTTTCATAAAAGTTACTATCACAATAGTTGACTTTATGTTGAAATATCAAGAAGGAAGATAAGAACTTTAAGGACAAAAAAAAGATGAGTGAATAATAAGAAGGAAGAATGGGAAAAAAGAAAAAAAAACAAGGTTAATTGACAGATTTTGTTTGAATCTACAAAAAGAAAACAATGAAAAGGAAGAAAAGAAAGGAAAAAGCAATATGTATATTTAAGTATTAACCAATTTTGTAAAATATTATATCTTCACGATGAATAATATTATTCTTTTTTTTTTTTATTTTTACATCTTATTTATTGTTTCATGCTTCTTTTCATTTTTGCTCTTTTTCTTTCATTCTATTCTTATGCAATTAAATGTTAATATTTATGTTTCTCAAGCTCACCTGTACTGTTAAAATCGATACTGAAGAATGTTAATAGTAAAAAAAAACAAAGTAAAAGTACTGCTATATTATAATGCTCTTTGAATATTCAAATGAAATTTTTCGAAAATTAGAAATTTGAGTTTTTATCTTCAGCTCAGTATTTTTAGGGTTGAAACTAGAAGTAAACTAGGTTAGAAGATTGATACTTGAACATCACATTTTTTTTTCACATTCATCTTTCTTCATGATATGTAGATTGTTTATTTTTTTTTGTCCCTTTCTTCCTAAAAAAACAACACATGACAGTCGAATATTTCTATGTATCATATGATAGAGTAGTATATTGTCTATGAGGACGAAATGAATTTTCTAACGGGTGGCCCAGAATAAATGAAGGTCTCAGTATTTTGACTATAACTTTTTTTCTTTTTGATCTTTAGAGTTGCTTGTTTTACCAAAAGATGCACCGTGAAATTCTCTACAAAACCATGACTAAACTTATTTCCATAGAAAATAAAGGAAAAAAGCTAAATGAATACTATTCACAAACATAAAATGTGTCCAACTTTCAAAGCTAACGGATGTTTTACGAATGACTAGTGTTCGTATCTCTCTTTTTATCCTTCTCTAGTAGACATATTTTAAAAGCAAAGCATACTATAAGATGCAGCGTGAAAAGCCCTACAAGTTACATTAAAAACCTTATTTNTCTGATCTTTGAATTTTAACCTTTAACCCGGCACAGACAGACAGACAAACACACAGACAGAGGGTGGGTGTGGGTGTGGGTGTGGGCGTGTGGGTGTGGGTGCAGGTTATTTTTGACGAAGAGAAGAACACCCACACCCACACCCACACCCACACACCCACACACGCACACCCACACCCACACCCCTCATCGAAAAAATCTCCACTTTATACGAACGATTTTTGATGATATTTTTCAAATATCATCGTGAGCCTTCGACAGTAAAATTGAGCTAACTTTTCACCAGCTTAACCAAATGCGCTAAAAATTTGGATTTAGAGGTTTTCGATAATGCTAAACAAAATGAAAATATCAAATAAAAAAATTTTTTTTGACGAGTGCTTCGATTGCTCGATGGCCTCATGGGCGCTCTCTTAAAAGCTCTACCGAAGGATCTACTATCTGTAAAAGAAAAGCTGCCAAGACCCCAGGTTTTTCTAGAGAAAATATGACTTTTGTCAGATTTCTGTACCCTAAATAAACAAGTACTCACTTCCAGCGGAATCTGCATTTAGAAGTTTAATATTATCTTATTGTCTTCTACTTAGTTAATCTTCGTTGATACTGACTACAGGACAACTGAACTTTGCGTGAGGAAATCTTTCATTTAAATACCCAGGAAATTTTCTGCCGGGTAGGGTAGGTTACAGGTTATAAAAAAAATTGATAGGCACGGCCACGTAGGCTAAGATCGAAATATAACGGAGCAGATTACAGTTTGCCAAAAACCCATACTCTGCAAGCCTCTAGTGGAGTCCAGGTGTGAGCTACATTAACAACTATACTCACACCCGCACTCTCTTGAAACTGGAAATACTCGTTTACTATGGTTCTAGATTTCATACGAGACATACAAATAAACGTTCTTGAATATTCTCTTTCGAATTTAACTTCTTAATCTTTTCCTTCATATAACATTCCTGCCTATGTGAGTTAGAAATAGTTTTCTATTTAAATAACACCATCAACACAATTACCAAACCTTTCTCTATTTTCCCTTATGTTAAAGACGCATAGTCACCCATTTTCTTTAAACAGCCATACATGTAAGAACTATCTACCTTCTTCGTCATGAAAATTAGCAATTTTATCGTCATTTGTTTTCGAATATTGTTTTTCGTTTATTTCCTATCATATAAATAGAAATATGTTCATGTTCATTTGTTTTTGAATATCGTTTTTCATTTATTTCCTATCATATATTAATAGGAATATGTTCATGGTGATTTGTTTTCGAATACTGTTTTTCGTTTATTTCCTATCATATAAATAGAAATATGTTTACGGTGATTTATTTTTGAATATTGTTTTTGGTTTATTTCCTATCATATGAATAGGAATATGTTTATGCTGATTTGTTTTTGAATAACGTTTTTTGTTTATTTCCTATCGTATGAATAGGAATATGTTTATGGTGATTTCTTTTCGAATATTGTTTTTGGTTTATTTCCTATCAGATGAATAGGAATATTTTCAAAGTGTGGTATAATCTTTAATATTCACTGTGGTGACTAGTTTTTGAACATGGATTTTTGAAATGACTGGCTGTTTTCCGGAGAGAATCAAACACAATTTGAAAGCCCGATTTGTGCATATATTGAAAGTGATGCGAGTAGATTCGGATGAATTAAAAATGACTACTGAAGGATATGTTGGAAAGTAAATCAGTAGTTA